AGCATCCTTGAGTCTTAAAGGGAGTGTCTGCAGTAATAGTACATACATTGGTTGTCATCTTCCAAAATTCCCCATGTTTTGGAAGATCCATATTTTGCAAAACGACAAATGGAAATCTGCTAAATGACAAGGCAACTATAGATCATTTATCCTAACATTGAATCCATTATTAAGGAGATGGTAGCATCCCAAGTAGAAAATCATAATGTGATCAGGCATAGTTAATATGCCCCTTTTTTTAAGGGAAATTGTACTTGACAAATTTAGTAAGGTTTTCTGGGGATATACCAAACAGGGTTGGCTAAAGGAAGGCAGTAAATCTAGTATGTTGGAATTTCCAAAAGTAATTTGGATGCCATGCAAACAGTTCCTGCAATAAGTACTCATGGTGATTTATTAGTATGATAGAGGATTGGCTAACAGGAACTAAAAAGTTTGGATTCATAGATCTTTTCAGATTGACAAACTGTAATTGGAGTTCCCTGAGGATCATTGCTGGAGCCTTCATTATGTATGATCTAAATTAATAATGTAAATACAGGAATGCACAAGAATCTAGCCAAATCCACTGATGATACAAAGATAGGTACAAAAGCAAGTTTGACGATGATACAATGGGCTGAAATGTTTTTGCCCTTAGACAAAGCAGATTGGCAAGTATGTTTGAAATACTTGACAAACTCAGGAAAATTAGATTCTCAATGTTGCAAAATAAAGTCTAATTCTCCACCCCAGGTTTTGAAAGCAAGACAAGAATCTCACTAGTGAGCAGCAAAAGGTCTGTTTGCATTTATTTATATTTCATTATTACCAACTCACATTACATTTATGTTCAATTTGCCATTTTCCCAAATGTCAGAGAGAAATTAGCTCTCGAGGGAGTGCAGCAAAGGTTTACCAGGCTGGTTCCCGGGCTGGTGGGACTGATGTATGAGGAGAGATTGACTGACTAGGTTTGATTGTTTTCGCTGGACTTCAAACGAATGAGGAGGGGTCTCATAGAGACTTATAATAGTCTAATAGGACTAGACAAGGTAGATGCAGGGAGAATGGTCTTGATGGTGGGTGTGTTCAGAATCAGGGGTGACAGTCTGAGGATTCGGGGTAAACCATTTAGGACGGAGATGAGGACACATTTCTTCACCCAAAGAGTGGTGAGCCTGTGGAATTCATTTACACAGGAAGCAGTTGATGCCAAAACATTGAATGTACTCAAGAGGCAGCTAGATATAGCACTTGGGGCAAATGCGATCAAAGATTATGGGGAAAATGGATTAGGCTATTGAGTTGGATGATCAGCCGTAATCGTGATGAATGGTGGAGCAGGCTTGAATGGCTGAATGGCCTCCTCCTGTTCCTATCTTCTATGTTTCTGTGACAATTTCTGACATAAAAATTGAAGTGAGTACCTGGCAGCTTCAACTTACTACTTGCTTCACTAGACCTCCATCTTGGCCTGGAGTGCCCAACACCTCAGTGCATGTGGAATGGGCAGTGATCACCTGCAACCCCGCCCTCATCCACAGGGTTGACATTGCACATGTACCAGCATCACCACGTCATCATTGAACATCTCCGACTCAGAATAGAGTTATCAACTTTAATGCAGCATTGCATCAACATCTTTCATTGTAATGTTGCAGCCAGGCTGCTTTGAACACAGGGACAAAAGACCCATCTCATGCATTGGAACAGGGTGTACCTCAGGCATGTGCTTCATCTAAATGGCCACGTCAAAGTGGGGGCAGCTCTCAGTCAAGTCCCAAGAGACTGTCATCATTCAGGAGTTCTAGCACAGTAAGTCAAGGGCAGGCAGCATCTTTCTCATTTTTGGTGTTTGGACATGACTGTCAGTTGTTTGGGCAGCTAGGGGTTCTGTATAACTACAAGGTGTGAGTGGGTCATGGTCAATCCTACAGTGCAACCATTCAGAGGATTAGTAGTAGGTCAGTCAGGGAACTACAGAGCGATCAGTCGGGTTTTCAAATACTTATCAATTGGGTTTGCCCTTCCAAGTCAGTTGGATGTTGTGGGATTAGGATGTTTGTCGGATTGAAGGGTTTATTCGCTGAAAATCAAAGTGGGTTATCAAGGACTACTGCTGTGGTGAGGAAGCTGAGGAAGTCTATTGCAGGAACAAAAACAGAAGTTGCTGGAAAAGCTCAGCAGGGTCTGGCAGTATCTCTGAAGAAAAATCAGAGTTAATGTTTTGGGTCCAGTGACCCTTCTTCCAAACAGACCCTTCCTCCCTTCTGAGTATGGGTCCCCAGACCAGAAACGTTAACTCTGATTTCTCTTCACAAATGCTGCCAGACCTGCTGAACCTTTCCAGCAACTTCTGTTTTTGTGTCAAGTGTGTGATGCAAAAACTGATCGCTCATAGAATAAGGACCTCTTCTGTTTCTGATACTCCCTACATAAGGTCCTTGGAAATGTGACCGATAGATCCTACCACAGCTGGATTTAGCTGGAGAGAAACTAATGAAAAACAAATGCAATAAACACAAATAGACAAGCAGCAAACTTTGATGGTTGCTGAACAGCCTCCATGTGGAAAAGTTGCAGTTGAAGTTCTCCTCAGGGAATTGCAGGAGGTCTATTGAAGTCTATCATCCCATATGCCATTCCCTCCAGATGTATGAGGTGCATTGCTGCCACAGACTGGGGATGTTTCTCAATATTCCAGATGTCATCTGCTGGATCAGGACTTATGAACTGGAGGGATGAGTGGCTATTCTATCCCAGTGACTACCAAGATGACAGCTGCACTAAATTTTTATGCAATTGGCTACTTCCATTCCTCTCAATGCTCAACCCACAAATGTAAGAAAGCTGCCAGCAATGTAATTTGTGAGAAAACACACCACTTTACCTCATTTCCCTGTGACAAGGTCATTGCTGTGCCTTGTGCCTGTGGCTTTGGTAATTACAGTTAGCTTCCACACATATAGACTGTACATATGTCGTGTTCAGAGTACCATATCATAACATGGCTGACTGCATCCAAACAAAAGGATTCCATTCCATCAATATACAGTCATCTGTGATTATCAGTACCACATCTTAGAAGTCTGTGCCAGGTACAATGGGAGCTGGCATGATGCCTGATCCTTGAGAACTCTCATGTTTCTGCTTTGTTTCAAAGGCCAGATGCTTGACAAGGATGGTTACTGGGAGACCTGGGCTATCTTCTAAAACTACAGCTGATTACTCATTCGTACAATCCCCTGACTGATGCTTAGTGTAAATGTAATGTAGCCCGTTATTTCAACAGGACCATTGTGGAGCAGATGAATACCCTCACACAAAGATGAGGTTCATGTGCTTGGAAACGTTAGGGAGTGAGGTAGGGTGTGCTTGGGGTAGGGAAAGAGTAGCACTCCCTCAGACACAGTTCTAACATGGAATGGCACTAAGGACAGGTAATCAACCTACAGCTTGTTTCTTGTAATATAGTTACAACGATCAGTCAGCTTCTATTTCCAATGAAGTGTCACCATGCCACATCTATCCCTCGAAGTGTTCCTTTTCATTTCCCTCCCAATGCGTGTACTGTGAAGGGCAATTTGCAACTGACAGTGATTTACCTGCTGCACAGCTTGGCTTTAAATATGGTGCCAGTGGTGGAAATTTGGAAGGTCATGGCAGTTTCAAGTAGTTCCACTGCTGGTGCTATATTTGATGCATACATAATGGGGTGAGCTGGGAAGAATTCATCAGAAAGCTCACTACAACTCATGGAGAGAAATCCTTGATGAAATACTCTGAAATTAGTGTTATTTGCTAAAATTCACCCCAAAGAGATTGCAAAGGTGTATAGTTAGGTCAAGTGAGTGGGCAAAAAAAATCTGGCAGGTGATGCATAATGTGGGAGGTTTATTAGAAAGATTTCTAAGATAAAGGGGCAGTCCTTTACTGTTTTTCTCTTCACAGATGCTGACAGCTGTTGTGAGTTTCTCCAGCACTTTCTACTTTTGTTTCAGTTACAGAAAAGTTGTGAATGGAGTTGAACATGATGGAATTGCTGCAATCAACCACAATTCCTGACCTTATGGTTTAAGAGAAGTCATTGGTGAAGTTTCTCTGCACCAGGCACTCTGTAGTTTCTCTCCATTTAGATAATAAGCTCTCTTTCTATTCTTCTGACCAAAATGTTGAACCTCACACTTATCCATGTTAAACTCCATGTGTCAAATTTTGGCCCATTCACCTAACCTATCCCTATCCACTTGTAATTTTTTTTTTTAATTCTTCATTGCAATGTACTTTCCGACCTATTTTAGTGTCGTCTGCAAATTTGGCTACAGTACATTCTAACTTTGCATCCAAGTTATTAATTTAGATTGTAAATATGTCGGGTCTGAGCACCGAACCCTGTGGCATCCCACTAGTTACATTTTGCCAATCAGAAAAAAAAAACAGAAAACGTCTTTCCTATTACTCTTACATTGCATGTCAATATCCTGATTATCCCTCTTGTTATTCAGCAACCCAACTTCAACATGCGAGATGCATTTCGTTTGATTTGCAATGTATCCTAAAACTAAACATCACGGTTAGATTGGTGATAGTAGCAGTGGTTTATATGTCCTGTTTTAAACAGTTCGCATAGTTTTTACCAGCGCTGGCTCCAGGAGCCATTAAGAGGTCATATTCTGCAGATCGGTTACTTTGACATTTTTTTATTCAGAACGAAAACAAACTACTGCGGATGCCAGAGATCTGAAATCCGAAGGGTCCTACTGGACTCGAAACATAACTTTGATTCTTTCTCTACAGATGCTGGCAGACCTGCTGAGTTTCTCTAGCCCTTTGTCCTTTTCCCTGGGAGAAGTCTGTGTAATTGAACCAAACGTGTGTCACAGAAGCGTGCAGCGACACCTCGTTTCCCACCTTGTTCCACCCCCACAGAAATCAACCCAATCTGATCTCCCTGCACGGAGCAGTTGGGTTGTTCCGTCCCAGTTGTCTGCTGGAATGTGCAGTGCAGGAGACCGGGGGGGGGGGAGAGGAAGTATGACAGGCATTAAGTTGCAAGACGCCTGGTTGGGTGGAGCTCCTCTTGCAGAAAGACGTCGGTGGAAAGCTGCCTTTATACCCGGGGTCGGGGAAACACCGCCTGATTCACATCCGACATCCTCCTCACTTCACTTCCTGACACGAGCGGTGCGCGAGGCCGTTCTGTTGCCATTGGCAGCGCCAGGCCAGGGTTCTGTTGCCACTGGCAGCGCCAGGCCGGGGTTCTGTTGCCATTGGTAGTGCCAGGCCTGTGTTCCAAATCCGAGTTTTGAGTCATAGTCTGGGAGCGGAGCAGCTGCCCTCCCACTAACAGCGAGAGCAGCGAAGTGGGGAGGGGAAAGGAGGGGGGATTGTCTGACTGGGCAAGCCGCGGCCCGTCGGTACAGTCACCATCCACCCCGCTAACAAAACAGCGAGTCGTCAGAAGCTCACTCACATTCGCCCCGGATCTCAGACTGAACTGTTGCAGTTTGGAAGGCGAGCACAACAAGCCGAACAAGAATGGCATCCGCGGCTACAGGCATTGGACGCCCGGCGCTGGCAATGTTTCTGTTCACTCTGTCCTGTTCTTATGGGTTTAATCTGGACACCAGCAACCCGTCTGTTTATTCCGGACCTCCGGGCAGTTACTTCGGATTTGCTGTGGATTTTTTCACACCTGCCCCGACAGAGTAAGAGATTTAAAGCAATGCGGGGTGGGGGAGGGGGTGTAGCCTGGAAACTTTTCAACTGTGAACTAAGTTTGTTCTTCCAACAACAAACATAGAAGTTAAGTCTAGGAATGCTGCTATGACTTAAGTGCAACGAATGCTGGTTTGGTGAACTGCTTCGATTGTAACAACTACTCAACGTATTAGGAAATGAAAGCAAGAACCGTATTGTGATTGTTAAATATTCGTGTACCCCTTTCAGTCAAATCTGAACAACAACGGTACCGGGACAAAGATTGTCGCAGACCTGTGTATGACTTGAGTTATCGTATCTGTATTTGATCGATCCGTTACATCGCACGAGAAAAACGTACTTGCAGATAGGTGACAATACAGTAAATTGAACAAAGGCTTTAACCCCTTACTTTTTCTTCTTTTTCTTATATTCGTACCAGGATAAATATTTTAGTTGGAGCCCCAAAGGCAAATACTTCTCAGCCAAACATAGTCGAAGGTGGGGCAGTATACAAGTGCCCCTGGAATAATGGGGCCGGCATCTGCGAACAATTTGAGTTTGACAAGACAGGTACTGTATACAAATTCATGCTTCGATTTAACGTTTTAAATAATCATGTAATACTATAGTTGAGAGGATGACTGCTGATAAAAGTAATTATATATTCTGCCTAATTATAGGGGATTTCAAACAAATATTTTACAAAAATCAATATGAGATGGTTTCTTGAATTACTAATCAGTTGTTCAATCAACATTTATGACTTTGAGTGGTCTGATCAAATGAACATGGTTAATATGACCATTCTGTTTTAAGTATTCAGTTTTTTAAAAATGTCAGTTGCCTCCCTAACAGAAGCACACCATATTGCAATTTCTGAAATTTAGCCCTTAAGGTGACTTAGAATGTTTGAAATTAACTACATCAGTAGCTATTATTAAAGGGATGATAATGTGTGAGATGTTCAATGCTGAATGTTCAGCACATTTGCCCTATTCAATTAACAATCCTAATCTTACCTTTAGTCAGAAAGTTGAGAGTTTGTGATCAAGTCTAGAGATTTGAATACACATTCAAGTCTAGCAATTCAATGATGTGATGAGGGAATGCAGCACTGATGGACATCTCATTTTCCTGGTGTGATACTAAACTGTTTTACCTTGTTAGGTTAATATATAGCATTCCATGATAGTATTTGTCCTTCAGACACCACCTCTGAAACAACTTTGTTGTTTGTTTCATTGCTGTTTCTGGAACTGCGTTGTCAGCAAATTGGCTACTGCATTCCAAATACTACAACAGTGACAACTTTCCAAAATAATACTTAATCAATAGTAAATTGTTTGGGATAAATGCAATATAAATTTGCTTATTCTTTTTAAATAGCTTAATGTATTTCAAAACATTGGGGATGGGACCAGAAAGTACTGAAAGTTCCTGCCTGCACCCCACCCCCACCCCCATTACCATCCACGCTAAACATCATTTGGTTTCGTTTACTCTTTGCCTGAGAGGTTAGTTGGGAGACAGTGAAAGTCAAAACTATTTATCCCATGCTGCTGTCTTCATTCACCACCCCCCCCAATTTAGATCAAGAGAGGTGCATGATATGGTCACCTGCATTTATTAAACTAGAGAAGGGCAAAAAACAAAATGGATTCTGGAGTAATTAAAAGCAATAATAAATATTATTTTTAAATATATTAAACCAAGAACAGGTGAAACAGCAATTTACCTGCACTTCACTCAATCTAGTCTACTGTACATGCTGCTCATAATGTGTTTTCCTCTGGGAAACAAAATGCAGACTGAGTGACCACTTTGCAGAACATCTATGCTGTGTTCACAAAAATAACCTCAAGCTTCCAGTTGCCTGCCACTTCAATGCTGTGTTTCCTGGCCAACATTTCTGTTGTAGGCTAGCTGCAATGAGGCTCAGCACAAGCTGGAAGAATAGCATCTCATTTTTCACTTGGAGACCCTGCAACCTTCGCAACTCAATATTGTGTTCAATAAGTTTATGTCCTGAACATCATCTTCCAAGTCCTTTACCCAGCCCCACACCCAGACCTTGTCGTCAGATGGGCTGCTTTCAGCACAGTCAATCTATTTTCACCTACTTATTGTCCACATTATCAGCTTCTCTCCTTCTCTGACATACAATTGTCCATCCTTTTGTTTGCCTAACTGCCTTTCTCTCCCTCTGGGTTCCATCTCCACCTATCCTTGACTTTGAAACCTTGACTTTGCTTTCTCTCCACAGATACCACCAGATCTGATGAGTTTCTCCAACAATTTCCATTTTAGTTCATTTTAAAATAGGTTATTTAATATGTTGACTTGAACCACACCTTGATTTTTAACAATTGTAAATTAAATGGTAATATATTAAAATCAGTTACTGTAATTATTGTAATCAGAGTCTAAATGCAAGGTTTTGGGCTGGGACCCCAACTTTGAAGTCAGTTGAGGTTCCAATCCCTCACTGTGTGGAAAACAATCACCTTGCAGTGGTTTGTCCTGATCTGACCAGAAGATGGACTTGCCATAAAGCTCTTAAAGCTGGAAAGCCAATAGAAAGCTCCCATAACCTTAAGGTCTGCAAGAGCAGAAACTTACCCTTTCAGGTAGGGGAGAAAAGGAGTGCAACTCTGGACCCACCCACCCCTCTCCTCAACATTAAATTCCTTTTTTTTTAAAGAAAAGGAAGAGGGCTGTTGTGGAAAGGTGCTGGTGGTGCAAATGTGCATATTTGCCCACCTCTCTTCTCACCACCATGGTGGGGGGGAAAATTCTGCCCTAAATATCAGCACCCAGAACTGTTCTTTTTATCATTGTCACTTCAAAGTAATCCTGAGATTGTGTTCTGTGTAATTGGATAATTTTACCTTACATCAGTTAGTTGGTTATTATAGCATCGGGAAGAGAATGGCAGTAGAACTTTTGTAACGTATGGTTACTCCCCTGCATTATTGCATATTTTATTTTGTGCTGTGTTGTTGGCATTTTTATAACATTTAAGAATTAGTTTTGTGAATGGATGTTTTTACCAATGCAGTTAGCAATTGTACTTCCAACAGCATAATATAAAACCTTTGTGAGACCACTTTGTTAATGTCATCTCTTATTGTCAGCTGTTTAAAGTTGGCAGTGGCCCAGAATATCTATGCTGCACTTTTGACGTGTTTCTGAGAAATCAGTATGTATCTCCATTCAATGGATAGCAGTGTGTTTGTGTTTCTTAGTTTGGAAATTAGTCACTGACGTCATGAGAGACTTACAATGGCCTATTACTGAATATGGATGTTACAAATGAAGTAGTAAATTCTCAAAGTTTGACCTCAGGAAGGTCTGATGTGTGATGACTACAGACACTTTGGAATTTCAGGACAGATTCCTTAAGTGGCCGTCCTTCTTATGCACTAAATATTTCACAATATTCAGACTCAGTTTGTAATGTTTCAGTTTTTCCTTAAGAAATTGTAGATTTGTATCTTCTGGCAGGCCACACATTTTTTTGGAAATAAAACATTAAACTGATGCTCCATCTATTAGTTCAGGTGGACATTAAAGTTCTGACAGCACAATTTGCAGCAAAGCCTTCATTAATATCACAGAAAAACAGATTAGCTGGTCTTTCAATTCCTTGTTGATTATGGGTTTAAAAAAAACTGTTACGTTTACCTTTAGAATCCCATGTTCCAAAATAAACAAATGTGTCTGAAATGCTGTGATGCACTTCTGAGTGACATAAAGCACCATGAAAATGAAAGTCTGTTTTGTTTTTCTGCAGCTTGGCAGAAGAAAGCTAGTGATATATCATATTGGATATGTCTTGTACTTTAGAAGTTACATGTGGCTTGCAGGTATTAATGTAATTTGTTGAAGGCTTAAGCCATAAGATGTAAAAGCAGAAGTAGCCCATCAAGCCATCTCTGCTTTCAGTGATATCACAGCTGATCCGATGATCCTCACCTCAGCTTTCCTGTCATTTCTCCACAATTCTTGATTCCCTCACTGGTTAAAAATCTGTCTATCTTAGCCTTGTCTCAAATGTCTGACCCCATATTCTGCGATTGTCCTCCAATTCGTGAGCCTCAAATAAGGGGAGAAAGCCTTTTGGTATCTGTCTTGTCAAGTCCTCTAAGAATCTTGTATGTTTTATTAAGGTGGCCTCTCATTCCTCTAAATTCTAATGAGTACAGGCTTGAACGACTCAATGTTTCCACATAAGACAATCCCTTCATATCTGGTATCAGCCGAGTGAACCTTTTCTGGACTGCCTCCAATGCCAGTATATCTTTCCTTAGATAAAGGGTCCAAAACTATTCACAGTATTTCAGCTATTGCCTGACTAGTGCCTTGTATAGTTTTAGTAAATCCTTCCTATTTTTGTACTCCATTCCCTTTCAAAGAATTTGGATGCTAGCTTTTTGTGTCTCATGGATGACGATTCCCAAGTCCCTTTTTTCCATTACATTCTGTAGTCTTTCTCCATTTAAATGCTATTCAGTTCCTCTCTTCTGCCTGCCAAGTGCTTTCCCCACTTTATATTCCATCTGCCAGGTTTTTGCCCGCACAGTTAACCTGTCTATATCACTCTACAGACTCTTTGTCATCCTCACCACTTGCTTTCCCAGCTACTTTTTTATGTCACTGCAAACTTGGCTATAGTACATTCATTTTCTTGTCCAAGTCATTAATATATATTGTAAATAAGTGTGGTCCCAGCAATGATCCCTGTGGAACACTACTACTTACAGGTTGCCATCCTGAAAATGCCCCCTTATCCCAACTATCTGTCTTCTATTAGTTAGCCAATCCTCTATCCATGTCAATATATTGCCTCCAACATAGAACATAGAACATTACAGCGCAGTACAGGCCCTTCGGCCCTCGATGTTGCGCCGACCTGTGAAACCAATCTGAAGCCCATCTAACCTAAACTATTCCATTATCATCCATATGTTTATCCAATGACCATTTAAATGCCCTTAAAGTGGGCGAGTCTACTATTTTTGCAGGCAGGGCATTCCACGCCCTTACTACTCTCTGAGTAAAGAACCTATCTCTGACATCTGTCCTATATCTATCACCCCTCAATTTAAAGCTATGTCCCCTTGTGCTAGCCATCACCATCCGAGGAAAAAGGCTCCCACTGTCCACCCTATCTAATCCTCTGATGATCTTGTATGTCTCTATCAAGTCACCTCTTAACCTTCTTCTCTCTAACGAAAACAGCCTCAAAACCCTCAGCCTTTCCTCATAAGACCTTCCCTCCATACCAGGCAACATCCTGGTAAATCTCCTCTGCACCCTTTCCAATGCTTCCACATCCTTCCTATAATGCGGCGACCAGAACTGTACGCAATACTCCAAGTGCAGCCGCACCAGAGTTTTGTACAGCTGCAACATGACCTCATGGCTCCGAAACTCAATCCCTCTACCAATAAAACCTAACATACTGTACGCCTTCTTAACAACGCTATCAACCTGGGTGGCAACTTTCAGTGATCTATGCACATGGACACCGAGATCTTTCTGCTCATCCACACTACCAAGAATCTTACCATTAGCCCAGTACTCTGTATTCCTGTTACTCCTTCCAAAGTGAATCACCTCACACTTTTCCGCATAAAACTCCATTTGCCACCTCTCAGCCCAGCTCTGCAGCTTATCTATGTCCCTCTGTAACCTACAACATCCTTCTGCACTATCCACAACTCCACCGACTTTGGTGTCATCTGCAAATTTACTAACCCATCCTTCTACGCCCTCATCCAGGTCATTTATAAAAATGACAAACAGCAGTGGCCCCAAAACAGATCCTTGAGGTACACCACTAGTAACTGAACTCCAGGATGAACATTTCCCATCAACCACCACCCTCTGTCTTCTTACAGCTAGCCAATTTCTGATCCAAACCGCTAAATCACCCTCAATCCCATGCCTCCGTATTTTCTGCAATAACTACGGGCTCTTACTAAGCAGCCTAATGTGTGGCACATAATCAAAAAGCAATTGCATGCTGTTTTTTAATGTTGATCGAGTTAACTTATTGTCAAAGTATAAGAAAGAAATAAGGATTACACACTGATTACAAGAAGTAGAAACTCTTCTCCTTCCATCCCCATTGCGCTGCCTCATGAAGGTATTAGACAAGATAAATTAATCAGGCTAATTTTTTTGACTGTTACCATGATAAATGAGGAAAAGCTGTTTACAGTGGCAGAAGGGACAGTTAACCAGAAGAGAACAATAATGTAAACTGATCAGTTGAAGAACTAGAGGTGGTCCTAAGTTTTTTTTTGCCCATACAGTTTGGTATGCATTGCCTACAACATTGTTAGCTAATTTGGAAGCAAATTTCTAAAGGAAATTAGATAAATTATTCGTGGAACATTTTGTCAGGATTTTGGAAAGAGCAGGAAAGGAGAACTAATTGAAATCTTCTTTCTGAAAGTTGGTACAGACATGATTGGTGGCCATCAAAGCTGTACCATTCTGTGAATATGATATCCCTAGGAAAAGGCACATTGAAGTACTTTAAGGAACTGTGTCATTAAAAATTAAGAATGTTGCGATAGTTGGGAAGAGAGACATACTACCAAAGTTGTTTGTCTTTCTCTTGCTCAGGATTAATGCAAGAATGCCAAGTTTCAAATGATCACAACAATTATAATGCACAAGAGTGCTCATTGGTTAGCAAGTTGACTTTGGCTGAAGCATTGCCATGGAGAAAGAAATGGGACGCTAAAGACTTCCAGAACTCCCCAGATAATTCATAAAAGGAACAAAGTTGAATATATTTCCTTTGTTGCAGAGAATGGCTCGCTGTATGTGTTGCTTCTACTAAGTGTACATGAGCCATGTTACAAGTTCAACTGATTATTGTGTGAGAAGCTATAGGAATATCAACATGTATACTGACCAGTGAGGGTAAGCTTGCATTAGACAGTGGAGAACCCATTTGTGAATATCTCAATAAGCATATTGAGGAAAGGGAGTGTATCAGACTGCTTCAATCTCAAAAGTGAACTTGGAGGCAGCAATCACTCAAATGTTCAACAGAATGATGGAGGAGAATTGTGAAAAATTAGAATGTTTGAATGTTTTGAATGTACGAAATTAAGTGAGCCGTACAAAATGAGCACAATGATATGTTGTTAATTTTTGCACAAGTTAAGGTAACAAACGTGTGTGAAGAAGAGTCATTGAATATAGACAACATTGTAAAATGAAATGAAAAAGCTTCTAATGATGGAAATCTGAATGATGAAAATACTTTGTTTATTACAAATATTGATTGACTTAGTTTTTGACTTTGCAAGTCACAATGTTTCAGATGAAAGTTGGGCACCTGAACATCATAAGTAGTCGGGAAACAAAAAAATGCTGGAACTCACAACAGGCCAGGCAGCATCTGTGGAGAGAGAGCAACCCAAAGTTTCAAGTCTAGATGACTCTTCATCATAAATAGTCTTTCCTCTCCACTTAGACTGATCAAAATTCTGTAATCTATTCTTTAATTACAGAGAGTACTTGTTAATTTGCTGTGTGGATTATTTCAGAAAGCCATGGGCTTCTTACAAAATTATGTTTTTGTAACAAAAGCTCGAATCGCTGCAAAAAAAACGAGTGCACCACAGTGAATGACAAATAGACTTTCAGAATGATTGTTGCTATTTCTATGGGAAGTGCTGATGAGAACAATCAGATCTCCAAGAATGAAAGTATACTATGAAATCCACTACTAGAAGTGAGTTTTGTGTCATTGAGAGGGGAAGGAACATCCTTTCCAGTAGTTGAATGACTCAGAATCACTGAAAAATGTTTAATTCTTCTCCTCCCTCATTATAATAAATTTCCCCCTGAAGATGGAGTGGATAGATAGAGTATGACTGGGAGATTCAGTTGCAAAACTTCATTATCTGTGGGAAACTCCTAAATTTAGTGTGTGATTGTTGTAGTCAGTTAGCAGCTACAGTTGATGTTAGTGGACCGCATGAAGTACTTTGTCCGAAATGTCGCAACTCATCATCAAAGTGAAGCTAATCTTTACAATACTTCAAACATTTGTTATTTTTACAAATACAAGGTTAATTCAAAAATAAAGGAGAAGAGAGGGAGTCCTTGAATGTAGAGTGCTTCTGATCAAGGTTTCTTAAACTTTACAACTCACTCACTCGAGATTGATCTGAAGCTGTATTTGTTCATTTTACAGTAAAATAATTTCACCTTAAGTGAGTAGATTCCACTTATTCAATTAATAACACCATATTGTCACAATTCATTTCTTGATAAAATTATTAATCATTATGTGTAGATATTTTCTGATCAACCTGTGCAGAGATGCTATTACACAACTCTGGAGCAGGTAGGACTTGAACTTGAATTGCCTGGGGATGCTACCACTGCACCATAAGAGCCCCCACCACTGAATATATCATGAGAAAACTCCTGAGAAGTTTATGTATTGTTGGTCACATGTTGACTTATGAATATGTTCCAGAATGGGATAGTGAGGACAGATCCATCATTTATGTTAGTGAGCAAAAGATGAGTACATGAACAATTCTAAAGTATTTTTCCCTCAGTGATTTCTTGGAGGTGGTGAGACTGATCATAGTGAGATGCTTTCGGTTGTTGGCTTTGTACATTGAATTGCTTTGTCTAAGATAGACTTATGCAGTAACCTAACAGACCTAACATTTGTTTTTACAGGATATCTGTAAGAAAATCGGTAATCATTCCAAAATGAAGACATAGCTAACAGCATCCCAACAAATACTGTTCAGTGCTAATTTTAAAAACTTAGGAATCAGTTCTTATGGAGTATGAATGTAATACTGAGCATATGCAGTGTCAGGCATTTGTTCAGAACTTTTAGATATTAAAATATCCATATTGTGTCAGATTTTCAGCTTAGATTTTGGACCTGTTGATGCAAAAATCCTGTCTGAAGTTAGTCCTTTTTTCTGTTGAATTCACGTTGGAAAAATTAACTTGTATGTAGTAACTTTGACTACTGAGGAGTCCTCAAAAACACGGTTATGTATAATGTATTTTGGGCTGGTATCTTAAATGGGGTGGCTATTTCTGAAATGGCTTTGTTATGAATCTAACCTTGGGCCCTTGCATCTCTTGCTTACCAGAATAATGTAGATTGCCTCAGCAGTAAGAAGCTTTTTTGTGAATACCAATACATGAAATACAATGCACTGTATTGGCCAGCTGTTCAGCATTAATAACGGTTGTAGAAAGTAACTTTCCTTTTAAGGAAGCAGAGAATTAGATTAAACTTAATTCGATAATCTACCTATTGAATTATTTTCAACACACCTGAAATGTAAGTTCATTTTACTAGTGGTGCTTAACAAAATGCTTTAAATCCTTAATTTGACATGTAAGGTTGTTATTCAAATCATTTTAATAGTGCAGCAGGCATAACTTGTGGCTAAAGCGGGTTGTAGTATTAATGTATAGAGAATAAATTAATGATGATGTTACACTCTGAATGCTGATGTATATTTGGGCTCTGGGAATACACGTACTTGGATAGGATAGTGTTTACAAATTGAGATGGCATGCCTGGGGTAAATAACTATGAAATTGGCACATTATGTTATTGGTAAACAGCAGCAGATCTGGATTTGTTTATGAATTAAATGTAAAGTTACTGAGCTCATGTTTTTGAAGTGTATCTTTTTGGTTTCTGTCATGCAGTAAAGTGCTGATTTCAACCAGAAGTGGCTTGTTTGGGTGTTGTTATGATATTCATTTATGAGTCATTCAGTTTGGGATTGGATATGTCAGCAAAAACCTTTGTTTAGTAAATTGCTGTATAGCATCCAAAAATAAGTGCTAACAAACATACTAGAGTTCTAGTTTTCCCTTTTAGAGAAATGGGAAGATTTTTAAATAGAATCAATCAAATAGATGAAGACAGCTCCACTGGTGTTAGAAG